CCAATTGTTGTGAGGCACTGTACTCCCCTAATCTCAGGGTTGTTTTCCCTGGGATAAAGGTCACCAAACTCATTACTGAACTGTTTTAGTTTTTAGAAAATTTAAAATAAAAGTAAATAAATTGCTTAGTTTTATCATTTGACAGGAGAGAGACAAGGGGGAAGAGAGAGTAGGGGCAGAGAAGGGAAGGGAAGGGAGAGATAAGAGAAAAACACTATTACTCCGTGCTATTCCTGTGTTTGAAGTACTTTCAGGCCCTGGAATTTTAGTTAGCTAGTCTCTTCAAATATAACTATTAAAGAAATAAAAATAAATGTGGGAAACAAACTCCCAAATGTCAATGGCTGTAGCCTTTCTATTAGGGAGTTCCCACCCCTCACCCTGGGATTCCTCCAATCTCCTGCCTAGGGGATATAAACCTGACCACCAGCTTTATGGAAGTTCAGCTCACAAAGGCAGCTGAAAGCTTTCAGTGTTCAGTATGCAAACTGTTAATTAATTTCCCTGTGTTTAGTAAGGTTCATTCATTCATTCCTTAGACAAATCTTTACCAAGTGACTATTAAAGCCAGGCACTGTTCTAGGTACTTGAGATATATCAGTGATCACAACAGACTAAAATCTCTACCTTTTGGAGCTTATATTGAGCTATGACAGGTGTTATTGAGTCCAGAGATTCCCCGTCCAGAAGATAAACCCCCTGTTTCCCACTAGGTACAGGGAGAAGAAGTTCCTTGGTTGAGCTGGTCAGGGACTTTCAGCAGGGTTGGGAAATCTGGCAACTCTCACTTTCAACCAGTCCTTGTGTTTTCAGCCCCCTTCCTCTGATCTCACTCTATCCCCGCCCCTCCCTGTCCTCCAGAGGTACCTTGTGCCGGTGCCTTCCATTATTCAGCTTCCATGGGCGCAGTAACTCAAAACAGCTGCCTTCTTTTTTCCCTCGGCTCTGCTAAGGTCAGTTAAGGCTGATGTATCCCCATTCAACTTCCTAAATACAATTTTCACTATTTCTTTTGTGTTTGTGTTTCCATACCTGGGGTGCCTGGCCTGGGAAAAATTCAGTCCCCTGGAACCTGCCCCCACCCCACTCCCCAAGACACAGACGCCCAGTGAGCACTGGGTTCCAACTTTGCATGTTACTGTTTGTGTAGCCAGGGAAATAGGGAAAAGACAAGGGCCTCTAGTTCTTAATCTCACTTTAGTCGGCCGTTGGTGAGAAGAGGGATCTCACCTGTTCATCTGCTGTTTCACCTGTCCCTGTACGTGGGTCTAGACTAAAGTACCAGGGCTCATTCCATCCGCTGGCTCATGCCTTGCTGAAATAACTGGGACACTCTCCTGACTTTGAGAATCACCATTGTCTGGAATTATTGCAGCCAGGAGAAGCAGTGGAGAACAGATTAAAAATTAAGAATTAAGATTAAAATATGGCCACTGGAGTCTTGCATTTAAGTTCTGCTCTGAAACACCATTTATTAATAAATGTTTGGAAATAGTTGAACTTTGCTCATGGGGTTGCCATGAAAACTAAATGATCATGTATGGAAAGGCCTTAGCATGAGGTCTGGGACATAGTAATACATGAAATCTAAAGAAAGGCTTAGTTTTCCTTGTCCTTCAGATAGGTCCATGAGGCTATTAACTCAGGTTTGAGTCAGGCCAGAACCTATTCTGCTTTAATGAATTGGTATTTTTGTGGTCTCTCGTGGAGGGGGCTCCAAGCTCCCTCGCATACCAAATTTGCTCCCTACAACCTAGTTCAGATCTTCCAGAATGCCACATAGCAGAATCACATCATTTATGGCATTTGGAGTTAGGGGACTAATTCAACATGCCAAGTGAGAGTTCAAAAGACCCTGAACCTAGGCTGGAGCTGAGTAGAGATGCAATTAGTGTTCACTCTAGGGATCCACAGGCTCCCCTTTATTCCCCAGCCACCTCTGAAATTAGGTTGGGACTATATGGCTAGTGTAGGTCGATGGATTAGAAGCAGAAGCGACAGTATCATTTCCAAGTGAGGCAGTGAAATGCTAGTGTGCCTCCTTCCTCTTGGCATGGCGATATCAGGGGTCATAGGTTCCAAATGGTGAACTATAAGATGTGAGCGGAGAAAAAAACAAATCCTAGGCAGCTGAGTGACCGTCTGAAACAAGCTTCCATGCCACCCAACTCAACCCACACTCGATTAGTAACATAAGAGAGAAATCAACACTTGCTGTATTAAGCCACTGAGATTGGAGGTTTATTACCACACTGTCTCTAAGGAGACAAATCTGTTCAAGAGAACTTGTGAAAATAGAATTAAAAGGGACTTCAGCATCCATTAATGACAGGCTACATAATTCAGGTGAACCTTCACACTAGAAAAGCTGAACAAAAAAACAAACAAAAAAATTTTTTTTTAAATGTCTATTCAACAGCATTGGAGAGTCAGCATGGAAGTGAAAAGTTACCTGGCTACCATCTGGCCATCTGGGCGAAGATAAAAATCCAGAGAAGTGAGCCTGACATTTGGAGCCACTTTTCTCCTGGGAGCATCTGTTAATGATAACAAAGCCAGTGTTTGACAGCTGAGCAGTCTGATGGCTGGCTGTAGAGACAAAAGTTGGGTGCCCGTAAAGCACATTAGTATGGGCTGGGACCCTGGAGTGCTGTACTCCAGGAATAAAGTTGAATTGAAAGTAAAAGAGCCTTCATGCTGCCTGTAGCCCAGCTTTGAGTCATCTGGGTGGCCCAGAAGATCTCAGACTTTGCAACTGGAAAAGTCTTTGGGCTCTTGGAAAGAACGAACAAAAATCCTTTCTAGAGAGAGAGGAAAAAAAAGGAATAATTTTAAACCTAAAGTCATTTCGACAAACAATTTTTGTTTTTCTTTAAGATTTATTTATTTATTTTAGAGAGAGAGAGAGAGCAAGAACAAGTGTGAGCAGGGAGAAGGGCAGAGGGAGAGGGAGAGAGAAAATCTCAAGCAGACTCCCCACTGAGTGTGGATCCCGACCACACAAGGCGATCCCATGACCCTGAGATCATGACCTGAGCCGAAACCAAGAGTCGGACGCTTAAACACACTGAGCCACCCAGACACCCCTCTACAAACAATTTTTCAAATATAATTTTGGATACAGAGAAAACCAAGTACAGACAGAGATAAGATAATGTGAAAAAGGATCAGCGAAACCCACAGAAAATAGAAACAAAATTACATGGTCTCCAGATATTGGCACTGATCAGACTTTAAAATAATTAGCTTACTGTGTTCCAGGAAATAAAATACAGGATTGAAAATGTCAGTAGAGAACTAGAAATATTTTTTAAAAGACATAGCAGAATTTTAAAAGAATCAATAAAAGTTCTCAAACTGAAAATACAATAACTGAAATTAACAACACAATGGATGGATTTTTTTCCCCCAGATTAGACTTTGCTGAAGAGAGAAGTAAAGAACTTTAAAAAAATCAGAAATAAAGAACTGAAAAAAAAAATCAGATACCCAGAATGACACAGAAAGAGGAAAAAGGCTGGAAAATATAGAAAATGTAGAAGAGATATGGAAGAGACTGTCCCACACCCTGTCCAGCATTCATGTAACTGGACTCTTAAAAATTGCTCAGAAGTGAAGCAAAAGCAGTATCAGAAGAGGTAATAGCTGAAATTTTTCCAAAACCAATGTAAGACATTGATCCACAGACTGAAAATAAAATTCAATAGATTTGGCAGGGAAGAGAGAGAGAAAGGATTACATTTTTAAAAGTCACAGATGACTCCAAGATTTCTAGCTCCAGCAATAGAGTGATGTGATTCGCTTAGATAAGAAACAGAGAAGGAAGAACAGGTGTGTTGGGGTCAGGAGGAGGCAGTGTGAAAGAGAAACAGTACGTTCCAGTTTTTGCCTGTTGAACTTAACATCCACACAGGGAGCTAAGTAATGTGCCATGATTTCTTGAATAATTTTTTTTTTTTTTTTGGTCATATTTAGGAGTCTCCAAGACTTGCATTCTTTAAAAAGAGCCAGTCAAACCTTTCTTGTCTCAAGAATCCAACACGCTCAGGCTTTCCATTCCCTTCTGCTGAATCTATGGTTTGCCTCCAAGGGTTGACCTCCAAATGGATATTTGCAGCAAAATATACATGGACTTGAAAACTGCATCTGCCTGGTTTCAAATGTAATTATCTGTGCAATGCAACCTTTGCAAAACCCATCACAACAAAATAATGTGTTTTCATTTTCAACACCACGATCCAGGGCTCCATTCTTTTTTCTTTCTTTAATATTAGAAGGGCAAGTTACACAGGCATCTTAAATGCTTTGATTTCTCAAAATGTGGGATTTCTGCATATGATGTTGACTTTAAATGATGGAATAAATACAACTTTGTATTGCAGTCTATGATATTACCTTAAGGATTATCATGAGTTTTTTAAATGGTTATTTGACTTTATTAACAGAAGAAAAAATAAAACAATGGCTACCATAAATTTCTCTCTCTCTTTTTCTTTCTTTTTTACTTAGAAAACAGCACGACCTTCACAATAAATTCTGTGGCTAATGGATGAAAAGTATATAGCATGCTTTCTTATCAACTGAAAAGTTTCCAGAAAGGTTGCAAGATGATCATGATGATGATAGCTAATGTTTATTGAGCACTTTCTACATGCCAGGAACTGTTTTACAGGACTTAACATGCATTCACTCATTAAAGAGATTTAGAGATACAGGATAACATAAATTATATACCAGTGACATATAGAATATTATTTACTAGAGAGTCAGGCAATTTTTTTTCTCTCAAAATTATTCTTTTTTAAAAATACACTGCAACTCTACTGGTACAATTAGGGACAATAAATGTATATGGGAGAACTTAAAAAAACACTTTATAGTAAGCTATACAAGTAAATCTATAATTTTTCCTTGACATTGTATTTTTCTTCTGAAAGTAGAAATAAAATTTTCAAAACCAATGAACAGGAAAGTAATTTTATTTTCAAACAATCCTTTCATGCCAACTTTAAATTTTAAAATATCATTAGATTTTAAAATATATCCAGAGAGTATCCATGTTATTGCCTTATGCAATCAAAGATGAATTTTTCAACATTAGCTATGGGTCTAGTTGTCACAGGTGCTTTCATTCATGCTTTCATTTCATTTCCCATTTCATTTCAATTACTACTATATTATTGTGATTTTCCCCAATACCATTCCAAATACAGTCATTAGGAATACTTCAACCATAGTTGTGCATAGTTTGATCAAACTTCCAAATATCACTAGCAGAAATGGCTAAAGACATACATTTTTTAAAACAGAAGACTCTTCCAAGAGAATTTTACCCAATAAAACACATGAACCAACTTCTTAAATTACTAAATGTCTTAAAGATGTATAAGTAATTTGGGGCATTATTTATTTAACTACATTCTTGATACCATGAAGGGTCAAAATTTAGCCAAGCCCTTGCCATTCTGGACATCAGATTCCTAAAAATTTAGCTATCTTACTTAGCTTATTTTTCTTTTTTTTTTTCTTTTCTTTGTTATGTTTTAACCTCTCTCCGAACCCAGGATCTTTGAATCCAGCCCCTCATAAATACCAATGCTTTCATACCAACCCAGATGTTTCCCATCCCCCATGCCTGCCAAAATCAGGAATTATCCCCAAGACAACCCTCTCCAGTTTCAGTTTTCATTAAAAAAAAAAAAAGTCTTCTCTACTTTGACGTGAAAACTTCTTTCCCAAAACTGCCACCTATTTTGGACCCCACCAGTCTCAGCCCTGGCCCTTGGGCAAATCAATATTTTGTTGCTCTAGTGTCCTTAGCTGTAAAATAAAGACAAGAAAGGTATGTCATAGTGGTGTGGAAATTAAATGAGAATGTTTACAAAGCACCTGGCACAATGCAGGGCCTCCATGAGCAATAGGCTTTATTGGGAATAGGAAACCCTTTTCTACATGGCTGCCCTCAGAAATGAGGTGACAGCTACTATTTTCTCTGCTCCAGGCCAAATATGCTCAGTTCCTTCGATTTTTCTTTGAACAGCATGGTACTGTCTCCCTTATTCTTCTAGTCATTCCTTTCTGAATAAGTTCAGTTCTTTGAGAAACTTTGAGAACACTTCTTTGAGAAGAGTCAACTGCCAATCCAAAAAAAATTATATATTTATCCCCATTTTGTCAACTGGGAGCAAGCTCCATACCCTAACATGTCATTGCAAGATAATATTTTTCCTTTCTTTCTCTATTGCTGATTAGCTTTCCTCTCCTCCCCTCTCCTACCTCCAGTATCACCATATTTGACCCTCTGGCAAGCCGGGCTATAGGAAAGGCAATAGGTATGGATACTTTCTGGCTCTAGGTTAAGAGAAGACGGAAGTGCCCCTCAGACATTAGGCTGTATCTGAGAAGTTTCCCTCTTCATTCTGGTAGGATGTCAGCTCTTCCTCATCGAGGGTCACTCCGCTCTGTCCTCTCCATTTCTTCTTCTGGACTTCACAATTCTGGGTGGTGGCACCATAAGACATCTTCTTTTGGGGACTTGCAAAACTCTCGTGGTTGAGTTCTGTCTCCTCCGCTAATTCATCTTGGTCAATGATTCCACACTTCTCCTCAGAGAGATTCTCAGGGTCAGCCCACTCCTGTTTCTCCCCCGAAGCAAAGACTCCATAGAAGATCACACCACTGTAGTGCACCAGGGCCGCTATAAGGAACACATTCTGCCATTCCTCGCGGGTCTAGACAAGGAAATACAGTACCAATTAGTGTTTTAACCAAAAATAGAGATTAGCAGTTTGTTCTAGAGGCTTCCACTGCGACAAAAATCTCCTGCCCACACCCAATGGCAGTGCTGTGCTTCTAGGGAAGGCATGTGTCAGATGAATGCCCAGGAGCCAAACAGAATTTGAGTGTTTAAAAAATGAAAGCTAACACTACTGTGAATATAAAAAACACTACAGTGAATATAAAAACACTAATGAATGTGCATTTTTTTAATTTAGAAAACTATTTTTTAAAATAAACAATATGTAAAAATACATCTAGCAGCATTTCATAGGTCTTTTAAATATACAAATGGGGTTTCCATTCATATGCTAGGTTACATTAAACTTGCTTTAGTAACCCACCATTTTAAATATCAGAGGTCTCCTTTTTTTTTTTATGTTATGTTAATCACCATACATCACATCATTAGTTTTTGATGTAGTGTTCCATGATTCATTGTTTGCATATAACACCCAGTGC